TATATATATATATATATATATAAAGTGAACATTAGATTGGAATGTTGCACAAAGAACACATTGTATGGGTCATTCTTACTATTCGGTGCCATTTGTCTTGTCTAATGCTTATTTCTAAACCATTTTCTTGTATGTTTAACCCCCCTCGACCATAGAACACATTGATATATATACACAGGATAAATACATTAAAAGTAAATTACTTTTATTTTAGCACAAGTCACTAAAGTACTATGTCCCCAGTCATGCTTGCTCGACTTCAGTTACAAATATAACTTAAAAAAAAAAAATCTAGATTTTTCATCATTTCTGGATTGGCTTATTGGCTTATACAGTGGATACATCCACTGTATCAGAAAAAAGGTGTCAGAACCTTTTTTGAACTTTCTGAAGCATCGTTTGTGGATCTGCTGGAAGGTAACTTGGATGAGTTGGTTGTTGTAAAGCTATTTCTTATTTTGGATTTTCTGTAGTTGTCATTTTTCAATCTAAGGTTCTTGACAGGGGAGAGAAAAACAGCCTGTACATGTGCATATAATACCTGCTTTAAACTTAAGCGATAAATTAATAACATTTGCATTTTGATCCTTTTTTGTCTTTTTATTTAGATCAGAATTTTTAAAGATCTATACTATATTAAAAGTAAGGTTCAAAATCTCGTCATGAGGTCACTGAACTCACCACTGGCATTTTTGCCACATATGAGATGCTCGTAGACCTGCAGCAGCCCCCACAGCTCTGCGTCGTTGCTCACAGCTCCATCCAGCAGCTCGGTGGTCACCGGGCCGCAGATGACCCCGTCGATCTGTCCTCCCTCCTCTTCCGCGGTCAGCCTCGCCGCCTGCAGCCCACGTCCTGCCACTTCCTCTGCCAAAGTTTCGACACAGGCTGTTAGGCACACTGCAGCGTACTCGTGCACACGAACCGACACCCGCGTCTCCACCATCCACCTAAAGAAACGGCCCACGGAGAGCGTGAGGCCGCAGCGCGAGGACTTGCCGCGCTGACGCGCGGTGTTGCCTGAGTTCATGCAGTACAGGGACACCGCCTTCACAGCAGATGAGATGCACTTCTCTGCGAGACCCCAACTCAACACCAGCCTCACTGCGCTCTGCACTTCCAGCCGTGTGCACCGCCTGTGCAGCTCACTCAGCCGCTGAGCCTCCCGGGAGATGCGCACCAAAGCTCTCCGGAGCAGGACAGAGAGCCGGTGGACCGCTTCCCTCGTGTATGACGCACGCGTGCGGGCAACTTTACGCACAACTTCCAGCAGCTCCTGTTCGATCCAGGGATACTCCTCCAGCTCGGGCAGAAAGGGGCATTTCGTTAGGATATCTATCACGTCCTCCGGCAGCGTGCTCACAGTGTCCCAGCTACCGTTTCTGCTGTACAGGGAGCCGGCGTGCTGCCAGCAAGGACCCCGGTGAGGTGTGTTCAAATTTGGCTGCGAGTGCCCCGACCTGCCCGAGGACAGGCTGAGTGACGGGCAGTTCTCCCCTGCCATATAACCCGAATCCAGGCACAGGCCCTCTAGGGTTTTAATCAACACATTGTTGGACATGATGTGGAGCACTTTACGCACAATAAAGAACCCAGCTAGTGTTTACCATTCCAATTTTGAGCCCCAGTTTAAAGAAGAGAGGCTCCTACATCCAGCTGCCAGAAACACACAGCTGTCGGAGAGGCTGTACCAAAACTGACCGCAGTTTATTAAAGAGGGACGGAGTGTTTTACGCACAAGCGACCAATCAAACTCGAACTCACAGTCCTGCCACAACATCCTTTTCACCCTGCTCGTCAGCACCTCCCTGCGGCTATAACTACGCGTGATTATCTGTGGGTGTGTTAAAGTCATTGGGGGGAAAAAAAGTCTGGTGTATGATGTTCACATTAAAAACTACGCTGGACTAGAACTCCTTTTCACCTCAGCTGTTTTTACTTTCCAAGTTGGAAAAGCCCAGATGAGACATATTTTGTTAAAAGCCAGCATGAACAACACGGAAGCTGAACTGTATTTTCAAAAATGTAATTAAATTTGTCCTCTGAGACAAGCAAAGACCTTATTCAAAGCTACGAAACCTGAGGCCTCTGATATGATGCAAGATTTCACCATATTCAGGTAAATTCATTGTTAACCACGAGCTTTCTATACATCGAATGTGGCTCTCTGGGGTACACCAGTAACTTATGGTGCAACCAAACAACACCCTATAAGCAAGCACTTTGCAACAGTAAGAGAAAAATTCCCTTTTAACTGCAAAAACACAGGCTCAGGGAAGACCAGCCATCTGCCACGACTGGTTGGGAGTGAGAGGCAGGAAAAAAGACAACACGGAAGAGAGCCGTCGATTAAAAAGAATGAATAATGATTAAAGTCTAAAAACACATGGAGAGTGAAAAGAGGAGTGAAAAAGAAAAGCTCAGTGCATCATGGGAAGACCCCAGCAGCCTAGGCCTATTGCAGCATGCCTAAGGGATGGATCATGTGACCTGATCCTGCCCTAATGATATGCTCTAGCAGAAAGTTGAAGCCTAATCTTAGAAGCAGAGAGGGTGTCAAGCACCTTGAGGCGGCTGTTGTTGTGATTTGGTGCTGTATAAATAAAATAAAATAAAATTGAATTGTCTTTAATATCTTTTGTGGGCCTCTGCCATTAAGGATTTTTTTTAAATTTAAAATAATTATCCAGTCCAGCCCACATCATAGCTCTCAGCCAGTGAGACTTCAGAGCCTTGTTTCCCTCCCTTTCAAACAATAACCGAGGTACAAAGATTTGCCCCACAGTAATTTGCCTTCACAGAATAAGTCAATAGAAGAGTTTTGCTGTCTGAGTTAAATATTTTGTTCAGTAGCATTAAATGTTGTTCTGAGGTCTAAGAGGACACACACAAAAATACACCCACTGTCAGAGGCCACAAGTCATTAGTAACCTTCACTTTACCTCACTTGGGATGACTGTTACTCAGGAAGTAGACCGGGTCATCTACCAGTCGGACATTTAGCGGTTTAATCTCTGGCTGCTCCAGTCTGCATGCCAAATATTCTGGGAATAACACCAAGTTGGTCTCTGATGCGCCATGGAAGCATGAATGTTAGATATGACGCAAGAAAAAAGAGCTAGTTTGAATAGGCGAATGAGGTATGTTGTCCCTGTTTCTCCTGAAGACTTTCTATGACTCTGTGGTGGCCTCAGCCATTTTTTACGGTGTGGTCTGCTGGGGCGGCAGCGTCTTTGCAGGGGGCAGGAAGAGACCGAAGAGGCTGGAGGGCCAGCTCTGTTCTAGGACGCTCTCTGGACCCTGTGGAGGTGGTGAGTGACAGGAGAAGCTGTCATCGCTGTTGGTCAGCATCTCCCAGCCCGTGCAGGAGACTCTGACATCACTGAGCAGCTCCTTCAGCGGCAGCTGCGGCACCCACGAGTGGGACGGAGAGACTCCGCAGGTCTTTCCTTCCTACTGCTGTCAGACTCCACAACATGGTCTCTGCAGAGGATCACACACGTGCAGACAGACACACACAACCATCCCATACACAACTGTAACTCTCGCCCTGTCTCTTTGTTTTGCAATGGCACTAAGAGCAATTTTCCCAGTGTAACAAAATATTTTATTCTATTTGTACTTTTTCTATTGTATATGGTCTTGTTTCCATTTTGTGTAGTATGTTATTCTGTTTATCTTATTCTATTGTTTTTTCTCTCTTGCACTTCCTGCCGTGACCAAAGATTTCCCACGTGTGGGACTATAAAGGTTTCTCTTTCTTTCTTTCTTTAAAGAGGCTTTGAGTGCTCAGGTACAGTAGAAAAGCACGATGTATAAAAACCAGTACATTTACTACTTTATTGTCTCTGCTTGCCTTACTGTAAAAGTCCCCGCAGACAAAGACAAAATAAAAACAGTGTTAGTGTCCAATGTTAACATTTATTTGTATGCTGTGTGTATTTATTGTATGTTAACTTTATGTTAGTACGACTCGACACACTGATGTTAGGTTGCCGACCGTGTTACCGGGGTAACGCGCAGGCGAAGAATCTCTTTTGAATAGTAGTTATTGTTTTTAGGTTTAATAATAGTTTGAATTCTCCTGCTGGTCTTTACCCAGCACCACCACATCGGTCATATCGTTGCCTCGTTCTGTCCCTTTCAGTTTAAAAACATCTTAGACCCATAATCTACTATTTCCCCGACATGATTTTTACTTTGCAAGAGTCAAGGAAGACAAAGAAAATCAAAATTAAAGTTTATTGTTTCACCTCCAAGGCTTCAATCAGCTAATTGGTTGGACTGTAGCTACTGGACTTTGGCACATCATTTCTCCAACCCTGGAGGATTTTTAGGATGTAAATATAGTCAAATACCATAAAACATATTTACATCATTCAAAACAATGGCATTACATTGTAAAATATGACTAGATTTATTTGGAAAAAATGAAGACCTTTCTAGAACACTTCTCTCCTTCCTGGCTCGTCTATAACTGGAGAGAAACTCTTAATCTAAACTAACCACAAGATGTCAGCGTTTCATTATTTCTAAGAACAGAACTGGAGTTTTTCTACCTTAAGATGAACAAACTAGTCCCAGCTGTGTCTACCTACTGGTTCTACAGCACTGTACAATATTAAACACATGTTCAAATCATCTGATACATACACATTCGTATTTTGCGTATTTTCACCGTTCAAGGAGGAAACACACAAGATGCCTTTTCTGAGATGATACAAACAATAAATTACACAGCTAGAAAAAAGCACTTCTTTGAAATGAGCTCAACAGGTTTCAGTACGTATCATCGCAACAGTGAGCCTGCTCACCACGTCAGAGATCTGCACAATCAGTACAGCGCCAGGAAGCTGCTTCTGTTTCCTGATGTAGAGTCAGGTTAGGTTCAACGGGGTCCAATGCAGAACTGAAGCCAATCCAAATAAGGCATCGAGACGTTATTACAAAAAATAAACCTGTAACTCTCCTAGCAAACACTTTACAAAGGCCTAGACTGAACACACAAAAAGTTAAAAAACTACAAACGTGTTTCGTCTGTTGTAAAGGATGATGCTTCAGACTTGGAGTCCTTGGAAATCACTTTCCCGCCAATCCAGACCTAGAATATGATGTCTTGATTAAAGCAGGCGACGGCAGTTTTAGTCAGTCAGTATGATTGGGGTGGCTGTTGCTCAGGAGGTAGAGCAGGTCACCTACTGATCGGAAGGTTGGTGGTTCGATCCCTGGCTCCTCCAGTCTGCATGTCAAGTATCCTTGGGCAAGATACTAACCCCAACTTGCTCTCCGATGCATCCATCGGAGTATGAGTGTACTTAGAAAGCACTGAGTATAGATAAAGTGCTTGTGAGAATAGGTGTGATTGGGTGAATGAGGCATGTTGCATAGAGCGCTTTGAGAATAGAAAAGCGCTCTATAAGAATCAGTCCATTCTGAGCAAAAATGCTTTGTGCCCAAAGTTGAACGATGAAGTGACGTGTTTTCCACAGATCAGCGATTTTAGCAGGTACTCAGGTGTTTTTTAATGTTCGGTTAAAGTGGAAAGATTGGTGCCCACAAAAAAAAAAAACCCAAACTACTGAAGCTTCTGCTCAACTGGAGAAAAGAACTGAACTGAAAATCAATTAAATCTGACAAAAGTTCTCAGCTGATCCTCTCAGAATATGCTGATATATTTCTTATCAGTTACAGGCCCAAGCCATTTAAGGCTTATAAATGGCTTGGGCCATTTGCTTATTTAGCAAAGCATGTGAGGGTTGTATTAAGACAGACATCTTCTAATTAAGACATTTAAAAGCCAGAATGACAGCTAGCTAGCATGTCCTTCTCCCACAACTGGATCTAACAGAACAGCACATACATCGTCCTGCTCACTGCTTCAGGACCAAACAAACCCATCTGCCTTTCACTATGTCGACATATTGTCTTTGTAACCTACATCTGGAACTTTCAGCCACATAAAGGGCAAAAATCTACCAGTTAAAATGTTACCTAACATGAAAAAGGGCTGAAAAGTCCGAAGGAGGAAACAGCTTCTTGTAGCCAAAAGTCTTTAGAAAGTCAGTTTGAAAATTGGCAAATACAAAACTTTTATAAATACTGGTCCCGAAACTGAAAGCACATTTTGAAGCAACTGTTGCTTAACACTGTAAATCTGACTAATAAATCACACCAGAACATTAATCACAGACTTAACCTTTTTACATGTAAAAGCGTCATAAATAAATTAGCGATCTACACTTTTCTGCTCTTCTCATGAAACATCGGCAGCCGATGTGTCCTCTGATTCTGCACTCGAGTCCAGGTTCACGTCCCTGCTCAGAGCTGAGGCCTGCTCCGGCAGCTGAAGCCTCTCTGCTGCAGGCAGACTCTCAGACTGGGCCATGCCCAAAGCCGGCGAGGCTACCTGAGACACGGGCGCTGAAAGAGTCCGCGGGACTTTGCAGCAGAACTGACCGGTGACGGCCGAATGCGCGTCTGCAGTGAGGTCGTTAGTAGAGGCCGAGTGCGGGGCGCTGGTTATTTCTGAAGGTGAGGGAGGTCCTACCGGGACATCTGTGTCAGCTTCTATTCCAACCCTCTCCGGGTCGGACCGTGGTGACGGCTGATCTGCTGCAACCACAGTTTGACTCCATGGGGGTTGGTAAGGCGGAGGCCCTGCTAGTGGGGAGCTGTCAGGGGTGAGTGGGGCTTGGCTGTGGATGATGACGGGATCTGGGGAAGGCAACGGAGTCTCCTCTTTGTCCACACCTTCAAGATTCACAAGGTCCTTGGAGGGACTCTGGTCTGGGGATATGGAGTCTGGCTGGTGGGAGATGATGCGGAGGCACAGGCCGGCTTTGGGGAACCCGCTAGCTGACGTTGGCTTCCCTTCAGAGGGCCGCACTGGACTCAGCAGCACGGGTAGCTCTTGGCCCAGCGGCTTACGGGGCAGCTCCTCAGGCTTCCCTAAAAACGAGCCATTAAGAACTGTTTATTTTCTTTAAGTGCACATTATTGACACCGAATAATGTACTGGAGTACTGGAGACTCCTAAAAGGACAGCCGCGTACCTGGAGGTGGGAGATCCAGCTTCATCTTTCGCAGCTCAGCCATGGAGGCCTGAAGCTGCTCAACGATCATGTCGTCACTGTAGAAAAAAGTCTGAGCGATGCGCTCCTGCAGGAACTCTCTCAGCTCCTCCAGAGACATCTTCAAGAGGCGCTCTGTTCACAAACCAGATGTTAAACTCACAGAAACGTGCAGTCACGTCTCATCTGTCTTGTACTGGAGCTGTATTAAGATGACATTTAACCCCTGTTTTAAAAAACTGACAATAAAAAATGTTTGTGTAAACTGAGTTGTGTAATCCCACATATGATTTTGTAATGAGCACATTAATTATAAACATCTTTATATTTATATAACATCTTCTATTTTCTGCAATAATAACTTGTTTGCTACAAATGAGATTTAAACGACTGTAAACATCTGTACACTTGTAGATATCCACACGAACACAGAAACCCTGAATCACACAAGTATACAGACATTTATGCAAAAATCATAAAAATGTCTCGAGACCAGACACCAGTAAGTAGTACTTAAATTGCAAAGTGTGGCCTTGCCAAGTTTCACTTTTGCAGACTTTAGGAAAGCAAACAAAAACTGGAAAACTTCAAAATCACTCGATTTCAGGAGGTTAATAAGAGGCTAAAGTTAACACAATGTGGTTGTTGTGTAGAAGGCTCAGTGAGGAAACTGAGCAGAGAGTGATTTATTGTTTCGTGGCGACCCATCCATCATCTCCTTACTCTTGTGTATCTTGAGGATAGTGTAAGACATGGCGGTGAGGAGCCGCTCTCCCTCCAGGATGAAAATGTCCCACAGGCGGAGCGTTAGGGTGAACGGTGTCTGCCGGATCACAAACACAAAAAGTTAGAGAATCACTGCAGCTTAGCTGGATTTGTTTGTGCCAGTGGGTTCATGTATGTGCTGTTCTCCTGCTGGCTGGAGTCAGGAAGTTTGTTTGGTTCCTTCTCAGACCTCAGAGGCCCCGAGGCCCCTCTGAGCCCGACAACTCAGCGGGATGGAGAAGTGCTGACAACAGCCAAACGCTGCCAGACCACTACCACAGGATTGTGGGCATGCAAGTAGAAGGCTAATAACAGTTTAGGCTGACAGGTCTTAATGCTCTCTTCTAATGCGATGTACCCGAGCTCTGCTGAAATCATGTACAGTATAACTGTGTGTGAAAGGCGATTCAGTGTTTTTATGTTACAGAGATTAGCATCTGCTAATGCTAACTGCTATATTTACACAGGCTTAACTTTCCAGTTTTATTAAACACGCAGTTGGCTAAATTCATAAATTCACATTGTAACGAGCAGCATATGAGCAGCATTCCTTCTCTCACCCCAACCGGTCGCAGCAGATGGCCCCGCCCCTCCCTGAGCCTGGTTCTGTCGGAGGTTTCTTCCTGTTAAAAGGGAGTTTTTCCTTCCCACTGTCGCCAAAGTGCTTCCTCATAGGGGGTCATATGATTGTTGGGTTTTTCTCTGCCTCCCTTCATTGGCTCCCTGTCCGCTTCAGAATTAATTTTAAAATTTTATTGTTGACTTACAAAGCCCTGAATGCACAGGCACCCGGGTATTTGTCTGACCTCTTGCAGACTTATACCCCCTTAGATCTCTTAGATCAAGTGATCTTTTGCTTTTAGCTGTACCAAGGTCGAGGCTGGTTCATAGAGGTGATCGAGCATTTGCAGTCGTAGCACCTAAGCTGTGGAGTAATTTACCCCTACACATCAGACAGGCTCCTACTGTCAATCTTTTTAAATCTTATCTTAAAACGCATTTTTATTTACTGGCTTTTAATACAGCATGAGAGTTATTTGTTATTTGTTAATTCATATTTGGTGTTTGCTTTTAATACTCTAAGTTGTTTTATTATGTATGTTGTATTCTTGTACAGCACTTTGGTCAACGCTCCTGTTGTAATTAAATGTGCTATATAAATAATTAAACTATTAAACTATCTATGAAGCGCCTTGAGGCGACTTTTGTTGTGATTTGGCGCTATATAAATAAAATTGAACTGAATTGAATTGAATTGAATGTGTAATCTGGCTATTTAATGAATAATAATTATCATTCAGAGCACTGAGATACCAGGTTCCTCCAGAACCAGCTCTCAGTTTAGGAGACATGACGCATCTTTTCTTTGAAGGTCAGGATTAGAACGTTCCTCTCTGATAAAGCTTGTAGTGACGGCTGGATCAGGTGACTCGTTAAGCTGCCACACGCTCAGGCTGCTGAACACTTTTTCTTCTCTGTATTCTTTCATGTCCTTCCCCTCAAACCCCAACCAATCACAGCAGGCGCTGCCAGAGTCTGTTGGTGATAGCTTCCTGTTGGGAGGGAGTTCTTGTTCTCCACTGTTGCAGGTGCAAGATCGTTATTCGCTTTAGTTTAGTAAGTTTCAGGCTCTGATGCAGGGTTCCACCTTATAATATTAAGCACTGTGTGTTGACTGTTGTTGTGAACTGGCACTATAGAAAAATTGAATTGAACTGCTTTAAAACTTCCCAAGCAAAATAGAGAAGATACATGGAAATGATATGACATAAAACAAGAAGAGGGGAAAGCAACCTCTTCACACAGTGAGAAAATAATCAGATGACCTTTTATTCAATGTTTAACAGGCAGAAAAAGATGATCTTACTCGTTTACCCCAAGATAATGACTCACCCTGTCAATGAAACACTGCAGGAACCATTTGGTGCTGTAAATGCCTGCAGACATCTGCTCTTTGTCCTTGAAATAGAGAACACGAGTCAGAACTAGCACGTATCCTGCTTGCTAGAGCGTTACTCCAAGTTTTTCAAAAACAGAAAAAACTGATCTCACCAGATGTTTCTTCAGTTTGGGAACGAGCTTGGAAATAATCTGATCATGATGTGCCTGGAATCTCTGAAGTTTTGGAAAGCCTGGAACAAAAAAGCCTTAACAGGGCAGAAGGGAAGTGAGAACTTTTTAATCTAATTTCATGTCAGTCCAAACCAAATCTGACAAGCAGTACAGTTTGTAATCAGTTCCACCACCCGCAGAGCCAAAGACTGTCATCTGCACGGTTGGTGCAGCTGCAGGAAAATGATTTCAGTGTTTAGCTTCATCGTATCTTGCAGAGAACACGTTTGCTGTTAATGTTCAGACGAATGAATGAATCCTCTGGGATGTCTCACCATGCATGGCGTGTTTCTGGTTGGTGAGCAGCTGTGACAGGGCCCAGAAAGCATCTTCCTCATTCATGTACATGAGCAGCAGGGCGGCAATCTGACTCATGCCCTGGCAGTAGCTCACCTCCTGCAGGAAACGTGCAAAAAGACCCCAATAATGGGCTTTCCGCTGTTGTGGTAACTGTAACTGACACTAGGTTAACACAAGTTAACACAAGACTATCAAACAATTATTAACTTTTTGTCATCATCCTGTGGGACCATTCTCCACCACGGATATTAGTTTTATTATCATCAGCAGTAGTGTTATTGTTGTATTTGTATATTCTATAGTGCCTTAATAGTCAGAAGGAATAAAGCAGATGGGCCATGATGAAAACGAATTAAAAAAACCAGAATATATTAAACATGGTCAAATTTTCAATTACTTAGTCATTCCTATTTTGAAATGTTAATCATGCAAAGCAAAAAACAAAAGCACGGAGCTTTGGTCACTGAGGGGAGTGGAGTCTATCTTAGCAAGTGCAAGGTGAGAGGCAGGGTGCACCCTGGGCAAAGGCCATCGCAGGATCAACAATGAAAGACAGACAGCCATGCAAACTTGTATGCACTCCTAAAACTTTAAGATGCATGTCTCTGGCTGTGGACGAGGACCCACACAGGCACTAGGAGAACATGAGAGAAGGACCCCAGCTGCAGCAAGCACACTACAGACACAA